ATTTATAGTTCACCTACAATCACAGAGCATTCTGAACCCCAGCAATGATAGAAATGGGCCAAACCTCCCACACAGAACCTCCCATGTGGGCCACAGCAACGTGTGGCAGGGGACGACTAGTGTCTTAGATATAATGTCCGAGCCACAAATACTCTGTCCTTTTTAATCCTCGCTTTTAATGTTTGCACTATGAATAGGGCAGGAATATTACTCACGTCACACCACAATGGGCTGCGGTCACAACCCAGCGCTCGCTGACCAGAGATCCACCGCAGAAGTGCCAACCGGATTTCTCCTGCAAAGAATTGGAATCAGTTCTATACAGTTCTCAGATTTATAGTTCACCTACAATCAAAGAGCATTCTGAACTCCGCCAACGATGGAATTGAACCAAACTTGGCACACAGGACTCACATGACCAACAGAAAACACTAGAAGGGTTTGGTGGGCATTGACCTTGAATTTCGGAGTTGTAGTTCACCTTCCTCCAGCAAGCACTGTGGACTCAAACAATGATGGATCTGGACAAAACTTGGCAGGGATACTCAATGTGCCCAAATATGAACACTTGTGGAGTTTGGGGAAAATAGACCTTGTCATTTGGGAGTTGCAGTTGCTGGGATTTATAGTTCACATACAATCAAAGAGCATTCTGAACTCCGCCGATGATGGAATTGAACCAAATTTGACACACAGGGCTTCCATGACCAACAGAAAACACTAGAAACGTTTGGTGGACATTGACCTTGAGTTTGGGAGATGTAGTTCACCTTCATCCAGCAAGCACTGTGGACTCAAACAATGATGGATCTGGACAAAACTTGGCAGAGATACTCAATATGCCCAAATGTGAACACTGGCGGAGTTTGGGGAAAATAAACCTTGACATTTGGGAGTTGTTGTTGCTGGGATTCATAGTTCACCAACAATCAAAGAGCATTCTGAACTCTGCCGACGATGGAATTGAACCAAATTTGACACACAGGACTCATATGACCATCAGAAAACACTAGAAGGGTTTGGTGGGCATTGACCTTGAATTTTGGAGTTGTAGTTCACCTTCCTCCAGCAAACAATGATAGATCTGGACAAAACTTGGCAGAGATACTCAATGTGCCCAAATATGAACACTGGTTGGAGTTTGGGGGAAATAGACCTTGGCATTTGGGAGTTGTAGTTGCTGGGATTTATAGTTCACCTACAATCAAGAGAATTCTGAACCCCATCAACAATAGAATTGGGGCAAACTTCCCACACAGAACACCCATGACCAACAGAAAATACTGTGTTTTCTGATGGTCTTTGGCGACCCTTTAGACACTCCCAGGGGTCAACCAACAGGTGAAAGCACTTCCTGAATTCCATTACCTGCAAGGAAGCCTGCCAGGGCCACGATCCAGGAATTGCCTCCTCTCCGTTGACAATGCGGGTGTAGCCACTGATGACAGGCTGGATCTTGGGGACACCACAGCCTAGGAACAACAACACAACAATGGAAGTGAG